CCATCAATTTCTATTTTTAATTATCAACCATCTATTTACTGTAACAACTTAAATCTAAATAGGTATATCATAAGGCATATATTCATTCGAATATTACATGTAATTCGACTGTGTAAATTTAACTAGATGTTCCGTAGAGTGATAAATTAAATAAATTCCGTGGTGTTTCTGGATAGCGACCGCATAACTGTACCGCTATAATTCTAGCTATAGCAATCAGTTTTATTGATTTTATTAGTGAATGTAATTTATAATGGTATATTTTTAATGAAAGAATTTTAAACACGTAATTTTTTTGCGTAATCAATAAATTACGGTCTTACGGTAATATATAGTTGAAATGTTATAAAATGTCATATGACGTCACACCTTGGTAAAATTTCTACATAGTCGTGATGTAGCGAGTCCTGACTTCTCAACTTTAATGCTTAATATATAAGCCATTTCTTGTTGAATTGAAGTAAAAAAATACGTGTCTTATATTTTTCTATTCATCAGACTGACGAACTAAATAGATTTTTTTGTTACCCAAATATCAACCTTGTTATAGCGAGAGAGTTAGGTGGTCGCTACCCTTGAAGGGTGGCGGTCCCACGACGATGAACATCAACATCGAAGGGGGGGGGGGGGGGGGGGACACGTGAATACATGCTATAGGTAAACCATGAGGTAGCCATAGAAATTAAAACTGAAGCCTTCTCGAAACTAAGTAAAACCGCTAGCGCCGTCACACTTTTGACAGCGAACTTCGATATTCTTGAACATTCACTTGTAACAAAACATCGAGACTTCATCTCGGTCTCGAGCTTACTTTAAATTACATCGCTTCATCTCGCTCGCTCAAGAGACTAACGGCTGGTTTCTGAATTGAGAAAAGTACAAAATCTCAACTGATCATTCTCAATAACTTAAGTTCTTTACGTTTCAAGTGGCAAAAAGTCCTAGTTTTATCAATCAGAAACGAAACCCTTTTTAAATGACGTTTAAGATGGCTTAAGTACGGTTTGAGATGTGCTTAAATTCTCAATTCAGAAACCGTGTGTGAGTCGTCGTTGAATGAGACACTTTTTCTGGTTGAATTACATACGTGATGAGGTTTTTTTTATTTATTCTAACCATGAAAAACAAATCACAAAGAAATTCCAGTTTTAATGTAACATTCATTAAAATATCCGCTAAAAGTGAATGATCAAGTTTATCACTACATTTGACAACGGAGGTCCTACTCTCGTTATTTTATTAACGTCTCGAAATCACTTGAAACTTCATTTACAAACGCCGAGAGAAGACCCTCCGATGCTTAAAACCCAACATATAGACGTCATTCGGTACCTTCCAATATAATCACGTGTTTACGCTATCAATTAAAGACTCTATATGCACGTAACAAAAGTCTTTTTAGCGTAAACGCGGACGGCAACGAATAATGTCTATACGGCAAGTCGAAAACAAACGACATTTAAAACGCGATATAATTAATACTGCTAATACTATTTTCAAATTATAAATAAACGAGCAAATGAAACTGGGTGACTTATACTATATACATGCAACAAAGACTTCGCTACTTAGTCCTACATATATGGTGAGAGCATTAATATTCTCCTAATCACGTGGTGTTTAGTGAAGCCCTAGGGATGCGGCAGCCCATTCGGTCCCTTACATTCCATACCTACATTGTCTTACGTTCGACACCTAAACACTAAATTTCGACACCTATAATCATTTCTATTTAGACACGCCGTTCTTCATTTTACTATTTCCTAAATATTAAATTTAAAGAATTTCTATCTTATTTTCTTTTTAATAAAGTAAAAATTAAAAGAGACATTTTGGTAATTAAGAAAACTTAATTTTGTGTACTCCATAATTTCCAATAGCATCTAAAATTCTAATAAATCAAACTATGTTTGACATATCTAATATGAAAAGTGGAATAGATATGTACGATTAATTAAATGTCAATTTTTATTGAGTTCACGACCCGTTACTCTTAGTAATCATGTTCAAAGAGAAAACACCAAACCTCCGATAAGGGCTTCCACAATTCTACGCTTAAAAGAATGCCAAATATATAAACACTAATATCCTCGACTAATATGCGCTTGCGCTTGTTCCGCGTCGCACGAATATCACAGCCAATATGGCCGCCGCTAGCCTCCCTGAAATGGCTCCACCACTTCCATCCCGATATTTCCTAATTGATTTTCATTTTTTTATGTATTACTTTAGTCAATTCAATTGCAGATTGTCTTAATTTAAAATATAGATCATAATTTATATCTGCTTCAAATGTTAATTAAAAATAGTGTACACAACAAAATAATCCTTAAAGAATCACAAATTTTTTGATTAAGCTACTTTCACGAAGAATGCCCAAATAAACTTGTTACATTGTCTTTAGATTCTTTTTTAGATTATATAGCTGGCAATTTTATTTTTATTATTAGCCATAGCATATTGCGACATATATTTTATTATTATTAAGACATATACGCAAAAGAATCAACAATGAATAGCGTACATATTTCACTACAATATTAACCGATTCCAAATAGTTTGATACGACCAAAATCAAAATAAAAGCTAAAACTTTTAACTGAAGTTTACAGCAACATTATATTTATGGTACAATTATTATTGGCTATCAGAAGCAGAAAATATTTCGATACACGTGTGAAATTAAATCAATTGAATTAACATTACAGATTTATTAATTAGATAAATATTTTCTACGATTATGAGTTTGAATAATTAACCACAAACAATTATTCAATGTTAAAACCTTTACATTAATTTCATTTGACAAGTAAGTAAACCAATCAATAAACTAGAGACAACGTTAATATAATGTGACTGTAGGCCAATTTGAACTCGTAAATTATCAACTTGAGACTTAAAATCATTCATCAATTTTACATCAGATAAATTGATTTACTTATAAACTCTTTCTATAGATGCGGTTTCAACGGATGCCTCGTAAGTTTTGGAAGTTGGATCATTTAAATATGGATTCATGAATTTTATTATTGATAAAAAAACATATCCCGACGTCTCTATTAAAAAGAAGCATTAGAAGAATAACGTTTTTGTCTTTTCAATGAGATGATGGGTATTAATAAATGCGATAACATCTAACTTTGATTTTTACACCGTCACCAAATGTCGCGCCCAACGACAGTTTAATACGTACCAACTGAGCGAACGAACGCCAAACGTATATTAAGTAAAAAATCTTATTCTGTTACTTATAAGAACCAATTGAAGTACATGTTAAAGAAATGGTTTTGGTCGTTATCAATACAGAGATAAGGTATATTATTGAATATATGTTTGGCGTTCGTTGGCCATTCGTTCACTCAAAGAAACTACGTGCTGTAACACACGCCCTAGAATTGCTAATTCTACTGCTACTATATTACCATTCGGTATCCGCATCAACCACTTTTTTATAAATCTATTTACTTGCTAATTCTGTACAAGTTTTAATCGAGATTACTTAAGTAACGGACGCCGCAGTGTTACATTACTCTGAACAAAATACACTATCAGCCTTAAAACAACCACGTGTCACTTTAGTGGCTCATTAAATCGGTCGATGAGGTCCGCATACGGGCCGCTACGCTTGCCAAAAGCCACCATTCAATCAATCGCTCGGTATCAACTGCTTTTTGTTGCTTATCAATATTTTTCCTGATTTACCGGTGCGGTGGATTTGTTTGGGTCATTTTATTGGTCGCATATTGGTACAGATCGCCCGTACTCCACATGCGGACCGACATATCGACCGATATAAACGAACCATTAATACCAGCGCTGACTTTAGCCTCCATAATAGTAAATTTCATTTTTAATCTACTCATCGACATTCCATTTTTAAATTTTCTAGTCAGCCATAAAGCATTTGTCGATGTAAGGTTTTTTATCTGTGCTGGTTAGCGGCAACTGATTATAAGGTTTTGTTTGTGTACCAAGGATCAATTCCTTTCTCTGTGTTTTTTACTAATTTAATTTCAATTACGAGTAAGTGAATTAGTGTAGTGAATTTTTACCGCGGCGAACCAATTCTTTACATTTCATTATTTTTTTTTTTTTAATATTCACTGAATTATATTGACTAAGCAAATAAATGTACAATCAATTATGAAGTTGACTAAATATTATAGATGAACACTGCAAATATATTTTCTCTCTCGCTCATTAAACTTTATAACATTCAGGTGATTCTCAGTTTCATATAAAAAATGGTAACTTGCAATAATCGACCTTATACATTATCATAGTATTCATTTTTAAATAGATGAATGATACATGAAACGACATTGAGTTTGACATTGAGGTCAATGAATTATACTACCAAAGGAAAACATCCATTCGCAAATAAAAAAAAAGACACATAACCTATAAATTATTTCATCAGCTTTATATCTTTTTTTTTGATGGATAATGTAATTCAAATCAGTGCTTGTTCTCATATAAATAGATTCATTGCCCGAATTTAGAATGAGCACAAATGTCGAAATTTTGTCAAACCACCGCCGTTATAACGTAGCTAAAAGGGAACTACTAAACGAAAATTGACATTTGAGATTAACGACTAGGCACTGAACACACTTTAAAAAAGCGACCTCAGCCGAGAAAATAATATGACACAATACGTACCATGTTCCATTGGGTCCCACCACGTTTAAAGTGTGTTCTAGCTATTAGTCTGAAACACTATAATTTACATTAATAACAATCGTCAGTTATATTGTACAATTTACGCAGATGCTTGGCTACCTTATAGGAATACGAATAAACAAATGTATTACTTTACTATAAGAAAGAATCAACGAATCAACTCTTATTTTTTGTTTAATATTCGCTGGATGCGCGATGACAACGCCAACTAGCGGTTACAACGACGTCGTACTTCATATCGCCGACGGTCGGTACGAACATTATTTAAAAATAATAATTTCAATGAAACATCGATAGTGTCGATATTTTTTTTATTTCTCGTCTAAAATGCAATAATCAGTAAATTTTAGATAGTACACACGAACGTAAAAAAATTTACAAATTTAATCGAATAACGCATTACATATATTTATTCCAGACAATCATTTATAACTATAGTGTCGTTAATAATGCAGACTTTTTACTTTCTCTTAAAACATTCAGTTAAAACATAGACAAATTAATTATAAAAACTGGATTCCGAACACACAACATCCCAACCATGAACAAACATAAAAGTAAATAATTGGTTTCGGCTTAACTTGTTGGAGATGTAAAAAGGTTAATGTTTTAAACTCAGTTTAATTATTATAAACACCTTTCTTAGTACTCATACTACCATTGTTGTGTTTTGTTACGGATTCACCTATACTTATTCGTCGATTAATGCAAACCGGTAAAACATTGCTGCTCTAAAATGGCAGACGTAATTATCTGGCGGTAGCTAAATAAAAATATAATCACGTTAGCATTATGAAATTTTTACTTCTTGGAATCATTGCAGGAATTTTAAAAAATATCCTCTCGACATCGATCACGGTTTCTGTCAATCACGCAGCTTGTTTCGTGACACATAATTATTTATTTTTACTTAAAATTCCGATAATTTATCAAGTAAAAAGTAACAGTTCGTCCGACCGCAGTTCCTTTTTCCGCCACAGTGCGCGCTTCGATCGTTTCGTGGTTCCCCCACCTCCTACTTCGCACCCAGCGAATACAATAACATTCCGAATTTGTTTAATAAAACAACTTTAAACGAATTAAGCGCGTTTTATATCATTCTACAATCATATTTTTTTATCGGTAAATGTTGGTCATCTAAATCTTTGTTGGAATCAAAACGTTTGGCGTGTATGGTTTTATATAAGTAAAAATTTATATAAAACCATACACGTCCAAGTCCCATAAAAATTGTATTGTTAAAGTGTGTTCAAACTTTTTAACAAGACATGACTTGAGCTGTGGTACTGTCATAACCAATCAACAGTTGCTCACAAGATTTATTTTCTATGAAATTACAGGAAAACCTAACTCTAGATGTTTCCGACTAATCAAAATGATTCAAGTACCATGGTTTATCCGGAGACTAATATATCTAACCTGTTCTTGATAAAGAAATCGAGAATACACGGCAGCGGTGACAATGAATCGTCCAATGTTTTATATGAGAGGAACAAGCGAATTTGAACCGAATCATTATATAATTAAAGTCTGTTATCTCACAGCGTCTGCGGCTGATGTTTGGGCGGGAGCCGCTTGAGGCGGCGGCCGACGGGTCGCTGTCAGTTATTCTTGTCTATATTGTGTATCGCCCAGTTGAACGATGTAGTCCAAGAGTTCTTCATCGCCTCGCTGAATTTAGAACGGAAATGCTCCATAGCTTTCTCCTCAGATAGATCCATTACCTGGACAAATAGATCGACATTAGAGAACATCATTGCATTATGGTAATTTGAGGTCAAGTCCGGTCGGACTCGTGCACAGTGGGATCCTAACAAATATGTAGGTATTTATTTAAAAATATTTTTATTATATGATGTAACTAAAAATTTACTGTTTTCACAATTTTTCCTTTATCTGTGCTATAAAACGTTGCCTCGTACCAAACTGCAAAATTCTAAGTTCAAGGAAAGTAGGTTTTGATTTACTTGTGCGTTTCGAAAATTTGCGGCACAAACGATTGTATCTTTTCATTCCGTTAGCTTAGAAGTTTGATTTTTTCACAACTCCAAGAGACAGTAGATCTGATATATTTGATATAAATTTCAGCGTGATAGCTCCATGAGTTCCTGAGAAAAAGGATCTTGACAGATGGATGGACGGACGGACAACCAAGTGATCCTATAAACCCTAAAAAGTTCTTATTAAATATCAAAATTCCATTTGGTTTCAATTATAAACAGCAATGTTGTCATAAGATGGGTCATTTTAAGCCGTCGGTCCAGCTGCATCTGCAGTCGTTACCACCAGTCTCCACTGGGTTTGGGTGTTAGGATAGGACTCGTTCACACATTTTATTCTATCCGATGAGAAGGCCTATCCTCCTGCACTTGCGGACATTAAGCTGATGATGAAAAAAATAAGGAAGACGACACGCGACTCACGAGTGTCTCGCGCAGATACTGGAGGTCCTTCTCGGAGCTGAGCTCGCGCAGACCGGTTGAGATCATCATCGAGAAAAGTGACAGGATTAAATGCCCATGCTTCCTGAGAATTCTGAACGCCTGTTGAGAGAAAAATATATGAAATGAAATTGTTCTATTCAAGTAAGCTTGTTACAAACACTTTTGAATCGTCCAAAAATATTTTTTCCCCTACCACTTGTTCAGGACGTCTTTTAGCTGACAAGAAGAACAAGCGAAAGAAACTTACCAGCTTTATATCATAACTTAAGTAATGACATTTACATAATTCATGTCATTACCAAAATAATACATTTATTGAACAATAATAAATACAAGTTTCATAGTCTGTAGGACATAGGTTGGTACATACCTATAATTAATCGTTATAGAACAGAGCGATGGCTATTAATTTAAGCGAAGATAATTTTTTTGTGAAGAAATTGTAATGTTTTCTTGTGTACATAATATTCAAATAGATGTATTGAGAGGCAACAGTCAGAATATTTTTTTTTTTTAATATTTCTCTGAGAGATATATTTCACGTATATATTGCGAGCCAAATAAGAATAGGACCGCGTTAGCTACCAACTTCACGGCTGAAATGACATTTTAGTACTGACAGCAAAGAAAATTTGTATTAGAATTTGTAGTGCCTATCAAGAATTAATTAAATAATCATAACCTGTTATAATACGATAATGTAAAATAATGATAATGAAGAAACATTTACGCGCCTTTTTTTGCATACCTTATACAAAACATTAGGCATTTAAATCGTAAAATGGCGTTATACCTCTTTAGATCTCGCTATTATTCTCTGTTTTCGTTTGGAATTATATAAGTTTATGGTGTATTTAATTTGCTATCCAATAAATCCGGTTTTTTTTAATACACTTTCGAATAGGGAATATGCATCCGATTTAAAAAAAGATTAAATATATTTGATTAAGATCATTATTGCTTTAGAATGGCAAATATTTAACACGGTAACTGAAATCCTTTTTAGGCAACTTTCTATTAAGTCACAAAAAAACTAACTTTGCAGTGATTAAATATCTTAGCAACTATTAAATTATACAAGCAACAAAATGCTAGGATAAAAAAACTAAAAAACGGCTGCTACTGTAAGGTATCAAATATATCAAGCGGGATCAGTGTTAAACTGGTTAAGGTATTATAAAACCTAATGTGGCGACAAATTTTTCCGAGGGGACATCAAACATTCTTCACTGGCAACTATTGCCTTTCATTATAAAAATACACATCTGGCAGCGATTGTTAGGTAGCTTTAAAACTAAAAATGGGTATTATAATAATGTATTTGGATATTAGATTTGGATATTAGTGTTTGGAATTTTAAGTTTTATAATTCACTACTCAACTTACTCACCCTCTCACACGCACTCAGTCATATCATTCTACTCACCGAGAGGATAACACTTAGTTAAAGTATGTGCCAAATATAAGAAACAAATTTTAGTGTTGCTTATCTGCTTAATATATACTTAGTAATTTCAAGAATTTGAGGTTTTGAGGCGCTGTATGCTAAAAGACGGGTATTAACTTAGTTCAGCAGCAGATGCAAACTAATTAGGTACAGTATATGATAAGCTTAGATATAACGAAAATCATGTATTTTGTTGTGGTCTAATACATATTATTATTATTATTATATACTGGGTCTAGCCATCCGACTAAAACTTACCACCCTGCTTATCGATGCAAAGTCAATACCGATCGGATTAAAGAGGAAGAGACGACGCCCTACCAAGTCAAAGCCTGCATTAATAATACAATAGGTAGATTTTTTATAATTCTTTAAAACTTTTTTGGTTTTGTGACTATTAAGTAAATTATATATTTTGTGTATTGAAGGAAAATTAATAAAAAAGACAATGAAACAAATTTTATGCCTTTTATTGCACGCTATTTAAATTAATAAAAAAGGAGTTTAAAGCTGAAATACAACACTAGAATAAATGAACCTACCTACTTTGAGTACCTACCAAGATTTACCAACAATTCTTATGTTTGAGTACCTAGTTACTCAAAGTAGGTAGGTTCATTTAAAGTTCATTTAAAAGAGGGAAGATTAATAATAAATAAGATAGTCAAGAAAAAAATAAATAGACCAAGAATAGTTTTTTAGTATGTCACAATTTAGTTTATTTAGATCCCTACAAATGTAGCCAAAAGTTTTTTTTTTAAGATCTTGTTTGTATTTATTTCAGACCTTGGTCGAGTTTATAGACGACCCCATTTTAGAATTTATGAAAGCCTATTTTAACTTTTTTATTCGCCAATAATTTGTCGCCTTAGAAGAAATTCAATTGCCACAAAAGAAAATAACTGCCAGATAAAATTGAAATAAAACCTCAAAACTCATCAAAAAGCCGCCGCTTTCTAGTTAAAATGCTACCTCAAATTAGTTACCAAAGTAGTTTATTTACTATCCATTTTCAGTTTTTTTAAAACCCGGAATGGTATCCATTTGTCGCCGCGTTAAATACATGCCCTTTAGAATTATGTCTATGTAAATATTTTTCAAAATTAGTTTCGTTTCGTCGTGAAAATAATTATCAAAAAGTGGTAAAAAATGCAGTAAAATATTCAAACTTGTCGGAGCGAATATTACGAAAATGTACACATATAGGTATGTCATTAAACGAGTAGCTCGGTGGCGTGAATAAGCGCCGCGGCCCGCGATCGTTGTCGTTAAGCAACTTTCGCTAGGGTCGGTCATGGGAGGGGTGACCGAAAAATTATTATCTCGAGCTACTCCGTGCTTCGGAGGGCACGTTAAGCCGTCGGTCCCGGCTGCATTTGCAGTCGTTAATACCCTCCAATCTGCAATGGGCCAGCGTGGAGGGTCATGGCCCATCTTCTTTAACCATACATAAGGAAAGCCTGAGCCCCTTCAGTGGGGACGTATAAAGATTAATTATGAATAATGCTCTAATTTATCATTTAGTCCATACCACATAAACCGCCCTGCAAGTACTTAGTACCAGAAATGAATGATATTTTACAACTAAGTACAGTTGACTGACCGTCTCGCAATGTTCACGGAATATCTTGAAGTCTATGGGCTCGTTATCACCCGTCCCTCTCTGGCCTTTGTTGATGACGTGTATGAAGTCGTGCGTCAACACGAACGGGACACGTTCCCGCTTGAACCCGTACTTCTGCTTGAAATGACCCAGGAAGTGGCCGAAGTCTATGTGAAACAGCTGCGAAGGTAAAAATCTTGTTTAACACAATATACGGATCTTGAAGTGATCTTTACAATGAAGGTAATAACATTAGCAAGGACGGTTCGATTATATACATGATTTCGAAAAAGCCAGTTGAGTAACCAAAATTTTGTTTTTTAAGCCGTGGTCCCAGTAGCTAGTAATAGAACTAATGTAACAATGAATCGTACATCTTCCTAGGTTGAACTTCTTTGACTCTGATATTAAATGTCCTTGTTCATTATTCAAATATACTAATTATATAAATAAATTATTGTAATACTAACTGATGTATTTTACATTAGTTTATACATAAATTTATATAGTTTTTGTACCTTTTTGTTACATTTTTTAATTATACCGATAAATCATACATTCAAGTTTATTCAAGTATTTATATAACACCATAAATATCCCTTCATTGCAGTGTCTCGGTAGTAACTAACCACTAAGTTCTCGTGGTATGTTTTGGCCCCTTTTCCCTTTGTATTATGTTTTACATGGGGAATACCTATGCCCTGGTAGCAGAGAATATAATACACTGATTAAGGTGTTGACGAAATAATATTCTATGATCCTTTGATAATCTATTCTAATATTATAAAGCGGCAAAGTTTTATTTATTTATTCATGTATTGCATGTCACAAGTATTAAGATGTTACATTTATATTTACAGTTCATGTGACAACCTGTAAGGGTGTAGCAAATTTTAAGTATATAGCCTTTATATAATATAATATAATATTGCCAAGTTATTATTTAATATACATCAAATTATAATTATATTAATTGTGCAATGCATTTCTTACTTAACGCTATTAATATCATAAAACAATTTATATTTTATTCATTATATATTATTAATTAACATTGGCATCTACAATAAATGGTTTAATTTATAATAACTTCTTTTCATTAATATATTTGAGAAAGTATATTATTATATGTATGATTTATTATATTTTACTTAGGTAGGACTTGAACTTGACTCTTATCTCCTTTTATTCATTTCACAAAACGTAGCCATCCTCAAAGAATTCCGCGACACTATAATAGCCTTTGTTTATAAGAAACTTTTTTAAGTGATTTTCAAAAGCTTTCGTTTTTTCCAGTTCTTTAATGTAATTTGGTATTTTATTGTAAATTATAATTAACATTGAATGGGGGGCTGCTGAGTACAAGTTTGTTTGTTTGTAGGAAATAATCATCGGAAATAATGATCCAATCATGAACATTCTTTCACTTAAGGTAAGCTACATTATACGCGGGTGAGATAGGCTAAATAATTAAGGTGGTCAAAGTCGCGCGAACACATATAGATACAGCTAGAAGTTCATATATGTAGTAAGTACCTGTCCACTTTTCTTGACCATGATATTGTCGGGATGCCGATCAGCGATCCCGAGCACGTATGTAGCGACGCAGTATCCGGCACAGCTCATAGTGAACTCGTCCACTGCTTTATTGAAAGCCACCTCGTTTTGTTTACCACCTTCATCTTCAGTTTGTTTCTTCAACCATTCTGTGTTAACAATACGGATGTAGACAATAATTTCATGTATAATATAATATATAAATAAGAATATAATATATAAATGTCTGTCTATCACCAGGCTGTATGTCATGAACTGTGAATGTCAGACAGTTGAATTTTTTACAGTTTATGTTTTTAGTATTTGTTATCCCATATATAGTTACGGTATCCTATTGTGGGGAAATGCTGCCGACATACAAACAATTTTTGTGCTTCAGAAAAGAGCAATTCGATCAATTATAATCTTAGGATTAGGGACTCTTTAAGGGAGAAATTTAAGGAAATAGACATTATGACTGTTGCTTCTCAATACATATACGAGAACTAAATGTATGTTCGTAAAAATATTAGTTTGTTTTCTATTGTACACAATTTTAATACAAGAAATAAAAATAAATTAACGGTGCCTGTCACTAGACTGCAAAAAGTTAGTAACTCATTCAAGGGTCTTTGTGTGCGCTTCTACAATAAGGTCCCAAGCAAAATACAACAATTAGATATCATGCAGTTTAAATCTACTATTTAAAAAAAATACTTATTAAAAAAGCTTATTAAAAGGTATCCGATTATATAACAGATAAGAACGCTTGGACTTGAGATGATCCAGCAACTGGATAGGTGATTACTTCTAAACTCATTATTTTGTTTCCATTATTATTAAATGATTATGTTATTATTATAAGACCATAGTTTTTTTTTTTCTATCTCTGTTTATAATATATTGATCTGGTGATGACATGGTTTTTGAAAATGTCATTACTCTTATTAGAGCTGGTGAGTTTCTTGCTCGTTCTTCTTATCAGCCAAAAGACGTCCTGAACGAGTGGTAGGGAAAAAATGTTGGATGATTCAAAAGTACTTTTTAGAAGTCTATTTGAATAAAGATTTTTTTGATTTTGACTTTATAACAAACATGTTTTTTTTTTGCTTGTTTTTCTTCGACATTGATAACGAGAATTAAATATTTTCATATGCTGTAAATGCTTTAAATATTTACAGAATCTGGATTTTTATAAAGTAACTTATAAAGTAAATGTAAGCAATTAAATTAAAATTAAACAAATATTTTAAGGGGTCTCCTATACAACAAACGTAATTTTTTTACTAGTTTCTGATACGGAACCCTTCATGTGCGAGTCCAACTCGCACCTAGTTAGGTTTTTCACAATCAATATATGTATATCAGTTGCTTGCTAATATACTTACGGAGTAGAGTAGCTCTGTATATGGTGGAGGCTGCGTTAAACAAAGCGCTCTGTTTCTGTATGTTGGCGACTGTTTCTGCTTCCTCTACCACCTCGATCATGCCCACTTCGTTCTCCATAGAGATGCAGTTGTACGGACTCAATCTAAATAAATTGTGTTTACTCTGTTACACTAATCATAGATTTTAATCGTCGACTGTACGTATTGTAATAAATCTGCATTAACGCAGCACGAGCGTATTCAAAATTATCTACTTAATTTATACTTTCAAAATTTCGGAAAGTACTGTAGAAAAGGACGCATTCTTTTTAGATTAGAATGGAATAAAATCGAGGCATAAACCAAATAGACGCATTTGTTTCATTATGTACTTATTAAGAAAAAATGAGTCATAAACCAAATCCAGATTAAACTTAAGATTAGTTTACATGAACTGCAATAAAATTAACGTGTCCATTTCTAAGAGATTATTACAGGATTTTGTGATTTTCATTTTCAAAATTAAAACACTAAGGGCCGGTTTCACCGGTTGCTGATAAAGTCCCTGATAGCCTATCAGGAACTTATCTGCCAGATAAACTACAACTTTTGGTTTCACAGGTCTCGGATAACTATATCTGGCAGATAAAGTATTAGATATGTTATCAGCCGGTTCAAGTGGCTGATATAGACGTTATCTGATAGATAAAAAAAAGTTTCAAGTGACGGGAACGAAAATAGTTTTAGTTTTAGACCATTATTGTGTGCTTTGCGTCGATTGCAGTCACAAGTGTCACAAATATTCTAAAATGGATTTATTTGTGTTTTTAGAAGACGAATTAGATGAATATTTCGAACGTATTACGCGACCCCGTAGGAATCGAGTAATTAACCCTAGACCTAATTATTTAGAATCACTTGACGTTCAAGATTTTAGGAATCGATTTCGGCTGTTGTTTATATTCTATCGTTAATAGAAAATGATATAAAAACTACAACGGGCTACTAAGTAAAAAATCTCCGTTAACTAGTAAATAAAGAAGCTCCGTTTCTTCTTAATTAAAGTTCACACTTCTTTCACGTTTTTGTTTTTTCATTATTAATTAACAGATCTAAAAAGAATACACAAAGAAAAGTTAAAAAATTGAAAAGCGTCTTAAGCACAAAATATCAACAAAGCAAAACAAATGATAGTTGCGTTTCGTTTCTGTAAACACGTAGCTAAGTATACGAATATCGTATTATTTTCATTCTAGAATCATAAAATTATAATTCAAAATATATGAAAAAAGTTTACTTAAATAATATTGAACACAAAAAATAATATTAATTAGGGTTTAAAAATGATTTTTGATTGACGATAATTTGGGTCGTAGTATTGAAACGCAAAAAAGCGACGTTGCCGTTCCGTCAACTAATAAGTGGCCGATAACTTATCTGCCAGATAAATTATCTAGCAGTTTGATGGTGAAACAGAAAAAAGTTAACAGCAACCTTTATCCAGTAGATAGCGTTAACTATCAGATAACTATCTGAAACTTTATCAGTAACCGGTGAAACTGGCCCTAAGGGCCGGTTTCACCGGTTGCTGATAAAGTCCCTGATAGTCTATCAGGAACTTATCTGCCAAATAAACTACAACTTTTGGTTTCACAGGTCTCGGATAAAAATATCTGACAGATAAAGTATTAGATATGTTATCAGCCGATTCAAGTGGCTGATAAAGACGTTATCTGATAGATTAAAAAAAAAGTTTCAATTGACGGGAACGAAAATAGTTTTAGTTTTAGACCATTATTGTGTGCTTTGCGTCGATTGCAGTCACAAGTGTCACAAATATTCTAAAATGGATTTATTTGAGTTTTTAGAAGACGAATTAGATGAATATTTCCAACGTATTACGCGACCCCGTAGGAATCGAGTAATTAACCCTAGACCTAATTATTGAGAATCACTTGACGATCAAGATTTTAGAAATCGATTTCGGCTTACCAAGCGGGCTGTTATTTATATTCTATCGTTAATAGAAAGTGATATAAAAACTACAACGGGCTATTTAGTAAAAAATCTCCGTTAACTAGTAAGTAAAGAAGCTCCGTTTGTTTCTTCTTGATTAAAATTCACACTTCTTTCACGTTTTTGTTTTTCCATTATTAATTAACAAATACGAAAATAATACACAAAGAAAAGTTTAAAAACTGAAAAGCGTCTTAAGCACAAAATATCAACAAAGCAAAACAAATGATAGTTGCGTTTCGTTTCTGTAAACACGTAGCTAAGTATACGAATATCGTATTATTTCATTCTAGAATCATAAAAGTATAATTCAAAATATGTAAAGTATAAGTATAAAAAGTTTACTTAAATAATATTGAACACAAAAAATAATATTAATTGGGGTTTAGAAATGATTTTTGATTGACGATAATTCGGGTCGTAGTATTGAAACGCAAAAAAGCGACGTTGCCGTTCCGTCAACTAATAAGTGGCCGATAACTTATCTGCCAGATAAATTATCTAGCAGTTTGATGGTGAAACAGAAAAAAGTTAACAGCAACCTTTATCCAGTAGATAGCGTTAACTATCAGATAACTATCTGAAACTTTATCAGTAACCGGTGAAACTGGCCCTTACATTAGGTTCACAGCGTCATTTTCTTAAAAAAATTAAATCAATGAATAATCATTACCTAAAGTCATATCCATGACTCTTCCATAGTCGATCCATGATCCTTAGCATTTGTAACGTGAACATATCCTGTCTCAGATCGTCTCCTATCTTCAGTATAATCCTTATGTCGGCACCGTTGGGGTCCACGTTCTCGAAGTCCACCATTAGCGGTCGCATTTTACTATCCATCACCCGACATCGTTCCGGTCTATGAATAAATAATAATAGTACATTACGATATTAGTGCGTTATGATGGTTATAACATGCGAGGCGTAATTGAGCCAAGCATGTTATAACCAATACGCACGTATATCGTACGACGTTTTTTAATACATTTGCGAGGAAACAGAAAAAAGAAACATAAAATAAACTCAATCTGTGAATGTACACTGTTGCTTTCCCGCCATTTTAACAGCGCGCTAGCGCTGCCTACTGACTGGCGCCGCGCGGCGATTAGTTCGAAATTTGAATAGCAACAGCGCGCGAAATGGCAAATAATACTGTTATGGAATTTGTATGGACTATAACTTAACTATTTGCTTTGGTAACACACGCGTTTTTTATGACCCGCTTTACATATTTAAAACCGGTGGAATTACATCAGCTTTACGAGCAAAGGTGTTAAAAAAATATTATAACAGTTTTATATAACACTATTATAACATAGTGGTACAGGGTACGAGGTAAGGACAAAAAGTGGGAAATTTGTGTGGGGTTAATGTTAATCATCCAATTTTAACATACTATAGAAAACATTAATTGCTTCTTGGATAAGTAATATTTTGTTGTTTTAGCTATTTGAGGTTTTTTATTATATGATTTATTTTGCACTTGCATATTACATTACATCTACACTTTTGCATATTAGTATAAATTTATTAGTTTATTGTATCAAGTTAAAAAAATAGGTGTTTGCTTATTTTAAATATAACATGACAATAATTGCGAAATTATGAGATGAAAACACATAGCTGAATTTTTGTCTTTACAAATCACTTTTGGTCCTTCGAGCAGTACCTTATCTGTCGACAGTTCTTATACTTTTGTTCTAAAATACTTTTTTGTTTGTTAAAGTATCGAAAATGCACTTTATGATTCAAATCAGGGCTACCGTGCCACCAAGATTTTGTGGTTTTAAAGCAGAAGAGTTAATAAAATTTGAAGCTTCAGTCTTCGTCTGAGCAACACGTGTTTTATCGCTTTTTTGTAAGGGTACAGTTGTTATCTAAAATATCTTGTTCTTCTCAGAGATTCTTTTTGACAAGGAATAGTTGCAGTTCGTCACAGTAGTTCTTTTTTATTTTCAATTTGATGAAATTACAGTATTTGTTAATTATACTATACTTACTTGATTCTCCTACACACGAAGCTGGGATTCAGGGGTGAAACGAAATCCGAGAGAGTTTCGATACAATGCTGCTCTTGTAGATGCTGCTGTAGAGCAGCTCGCGCTTTTGAGATCTCCTTTTTCTTACGAATACATTGACTTGCCCCTGGACGAGTTAATTTTTACATTGTGGTTAAATTTAAAACTGTTATTACAATCGACGTTGTCTAATTGTAATATGACATTTAGGTATATTATTTTTACTTATGTGCAATTGTACAGTCAAGGACAAAGATATATACACCATAAGTTGGAAGAAAATCTAATCACCCAAATTTCCATAGATATGAAAACATGCAAAACTACTAAAGTAAGTATACAATAATTTGAGCATAACTCGGTAAACGGACAAGTGCTAATAATATGTATTCATAGGTACCTCATTAACTTAGGGACAAGCACATAACCATAAATATATACCCATATGATAATCAAAACTAAACAATCAAAAGGCTAAGAGATCATCAGTTAGGACGATCTCTCGGGCCGAATACGGATACTGGGTTTGAGTTTCATTCATTGAGAATACCTGTACCTTAGCACCACCAATCCGCATTGGAACCTTGACGCGGGCCCAGTTAGGAATGGTAAGTGAATTGATTTTATCCATTAACAATATCTGTGCTTTAACGCGACCAATCCGCATTGGTATCTACACGTGGGCCAAGTACTACTAATAATAATAACAATAATAATAATAATCACCTTATTTCTATCACAATAGCTACACGCGATCTTCTAACATGTAATTACATTAGACTTAAAGCTAATTCATAAATGTCGTAACCATTGTGAGAGCGCGAAACCTGTACTAGGTCACCCTGTACCCTGTATGACGGGACAAAAAGAAAAAAAAAATTGTGTAGTTATATATAGTCCGGAATGCTGGGTGGATCAAACATTAATGATGTAACAAATTGAAGAGTGATATAATTGGATAATTGTGTGGTGCTGAATTATTGTAGTTCTTGTTTTAATTCTATTTTTCTTCAATCAAGCGATTTTTAATTATTAAAAGAGATTTTCGATATGACTGTGTGCATATCTATTTTTATTACCAGTAGAGAATTATGGATATGTTTGTATTTCTTATTTAAGTGAATATATGTATGTAATTCTTTTTGAGAAATAAACGTCTTAAACCTAAAAAAGTTAACACATAATTTGTGATTTCGAATCTATGACCTCAACTTTTTCTTGGATTAGCCAAAACTAATAAGAAATTGTTTTTTTTTTTATACATTTAACAAATAAAAAAGCTATTTCACTATTAAATAACATAGTACGTAGAGTAGATCTTAGGATAAGTTAAGTAAAGGCAATTAGTAAAAACATAACTATTTTCCATCGCTACGTCCAGATGTCACTGGTGAAACATGAGCGAAGACAGAATAAAAACTAAATAATGACAAGGACAAAGTATGATCACCTTCATAACCATCCTATACGGTGTTCCTACAGGGGCAGAAACCTTCCTTATAGATGGAATTGATTCAAATTAAATACGGGAAATGGGTCATGACCCACCACGAGGCCCAGTGCGGATTGGTGGGTGTTAACGATTGCTGATACATCCGGAACCAACGATTTAATGTGCCTTCCAAAGCACAGAAGGGATGGAGATAGTAAATCTTTAGTCACCTATCCTGAGAACAACTTTTGCGAAAGTTGTTTAATAACCGTATCGCAAAGTATGATATATGTCAGTATACTCACACTTGAGTTTGTCTAGACAGGCGATCTGACGCATGAGACTGTTGATGTGATCCTGACAGCCGCGGCAGTACGCCTCCAGCATCAGACCGAACCGGACCGATACAGATGGCATGTGCATCTCAGATCTGTTCAGTGTAATTCAGTATTATAAACATATACTATTAAATTATTATATTTGATCAATATGGCTTGAAAAAATCGTCATTCCTGAGTAGCTCATTGGTTAGAGTAGTCGCCCGCAAATATCGGATTGCAAAAAGTCATGGGTTCGAGTCCGATCTCAGAGTACCTGGGGCTGATAGATTTTTTGCTGGTGAAAATACATATGAGTATTTGATAAATTTTACTACTGTTGGACATATAATGTGTATAATTTAGTCGGATTATTCTGTTGATCCTGAAAGTGACTGCGAATTATGACGTCACGTGTCATAAAGGACATTTCAGGTAACGTGATTTTGACATTAAAAATTATTATTTTAAAAGTCAAATATAACATTTCTAGCCCATTAACTATTTAGACCACATCAGTTTGTTACTGCATATTCTATTGACCTTGTTCTTTATTTCGGAAATACTGGCATTTATTACTTCAAAATTTATTCTAGATCACTCTGCTGAACTTAATTTCCGAACAAAAACAGTCTAAGATTTCACAGCCCTATATTTTAAAGAAAGACTGTAAGTATAATTACAAAATCTATAGTTTCACAAACCTCAAGTGCCAGAAGAGGTAATGTCCTATGATCATGTTCTTGAACGCCCTCTGTAGTAAGAACACGGAGAGGTCGCACATCAGATACGATTCATGTTTCAGTGCTTGTACCAATTGTAGTAGATACAGTAGTAGGTCTTCATCACTGCGAAACACACAAACAATAAAAAAATCGGCCCCCTTAAATATTTATTTATGCTGGTTTTATTTTGTATTTGTTGTTGAAGCGACAAAAGAAATACATGATATGTGTAAATTTCAACTGTCTAACTTTCATGGTTTCAGTCTGGTGACAGACAGACAGCAAATTCTTAGTAATAGGGTTCCCCTTTTACCTTTTGGGTACGAAGGCTTTTAGAAAAACTACCTTCATCGATTTTCAACAGCAGCTTTGTATTATCCCAACAAACATAAATACTATTAAATATGTCAGCATAAGTGAACAGAAAGGAAATGATCAAATCAGCATTCGGCAAAATCGATATCATTTCAGACAAGGCCACTTTATTGGTAAATACAGGAATACCCCATTGCTATAGACCTCGACCTATTGCAAGAGTCTTCCAAAACAAGTGAGTGCACTCGACCTACTGCAAGTGTAATAAGTGTACAAGTGTAATAAGTATACAAGTGTAATAATCTGTATGATCCATCTCGCATGTGGATATTCTTTGCTTGGCTGTTTCGTGGTATGCACTGCAGTATCAAGGTCATCCTGCAACTGTAGATACAGCGAAGCTCCAGATACAGCGAAGCTCCAGACAGCTCGGTAACTTAATTACTACTAAGTCTCACTATCGCGCAAATGTCTACAGCGAAGCTCTTAATAGCGTAGGAAAAAAACACGCACACATTCCTTCTTGGTTTCATTGTTTTCAATGATCCCCTCCAGACAATTTTACAGTGATGCTCCTAATGCCATGGTCAACGTACTATCACTCAGATTTCGAAGAAACGGATTTTTTAAATTAGTAAACGAATGAGAGCCCGAGGCAACCGCGCTTTAAGAAAGTTTTAACCAGACTGAGTTGCTGAATCAAAGAGCTGCCGATGCAGCAGCATCTGCCTGTTAGTATTTTAGCATGCAAGGGCGTAATTGAGTAATTACAGCACAGACACTGCAAATGACGGCGGCCACTCAGCACGTTTCGCTACTAGATCTCACTGTGTATTGCTCAACTGATCCTCTCAACACGTCGTACAGCGAAGCTCCTAACCACATGGTCAGCATAAGCGCAATATTACAATTCTAGCGCGGACTCGAGAGAGAGAGATATATATTTTGAGCTTTATCCCATCCAAAATATCACTGAGTATTGCTTACCTGCCCTGCGATTCTGTAAAAATCCAAACCCGAATTAGAATTTACTCAGGTGTCCGAATTTACTTCAGGAAGTGGCATCCCCTCAAACTTAAATTGATTATATAAGTGAGGGGAGTTTCGAAATGACATACGACTAGAATATCTGTGACACGTATATTCAATCAATTTTTGTTTTGTATTTTTATGCAAAAAATGGAATCTACACTAAATAACTTGAATTCGGACACATGAGTGAACTCGAATTCCGGTCTGGATTTTTACAAAATCGCAGGGCAGATCTTCTCCAGACATCGTACCGAGAAACTCATAATCGCATGGTCAGCGTACTATTAAGGGACCTCGGAGAAAGGCTTTTAAAAAAAAGTAAATAAATATTTAACTAAAAGCAACTTTAAGAAATTTTGATCCAGACTGAGCTCCCGATAGAGCAAGGTCGGAGACTTGGTGTACTGCCAAACGCATAATATACTATCCTTATATCAGTACGCATAAACGAGCAGTTCCAGCGCGAATTAGATGATGGCGGCCAATCGTCACGTTTCCCTACTAAATATCACTGAGTATTGCTCACCTGATCTTTTCCAGGCACCGTACAGCGAAGCTCCTGACCGCATGGTCGGCGTACGCGTAATATTACAATTCTAGCGCGGACTCGAGCGAAAGCAGGGTATATTTTGAACTTTATTCCATCCAAAGTATCACTGAGTATTGCTCACCTGATCTTCTCCAGACACCGTACAGCGAAGCTCCTGACCGCATGGTCGGCGTACGCGTCATATTACAATTCTAGCGCGGGCTCGAGCGAAAGCAGGGTATATTTTGAACTTTATCCCATCCAAAGTATCACTGAGTATTGCTCACCTGATCTTCTCCAGACACCGTACAGCGAAGCTCCTGACCGCATGGTCGGCGTACGCGTCATATTACAATTCTAGCGCGGGCTCGAGCGAAAGCAGGGTATATTTTGAACTTTATCCCATCCAAAGTATCACTGAGTATTGCTCACCTGATCTTCTCCAGACACCGTACAGCGAAGCTCCTGACCGCATGGTCGGCGTACGCGTAATCGAGCAGTTCCAGCGCGGACTCGAGCGGCAGCGGCGGCCACTCGGCCACCAGACGCGACGCCGCCGCCGCCTCCGCGCGCTCCCCCCACTCCACGCACGACAACAGGCGAGGCAACAGCTCGGGTGCCTCCTCGCGGAAATGATTCCTGTCGTGATCAAGAAAGAGACAGGTGATCCAGATGAACGTGATAAACTTTAATGTGACGGTGTACCATACCACCGATTATTTTGTACCAGGTTTCAACGTTTGAAAACGTTCGTTACAGTTTTCTTTCATCATCAACAGCCCTTTTACGTCCCCACTGCAGGGGCTCAGGCCTTCCTTATGGTTGGTTAAGGAGGATGGGCCTTGACCTTCCACGCTGGCCCGATGCGGATTGGAGGGTATTAACCAGTGATGTGCCGGATCGTTAAAAATGTATATCCGCGGATACGGATCCGAATACGGATATTTGGTGTCAAGATCCGCGGATACGGATACGGATCTTTATATATATACTATATGTTTCAAGTTCCTCTAATTTTCACTGTGTTTGCTCATGTAATTTAATGTTTACACTTTATATGGTAGGTAGTACCTACTAGGTACGCAGTGTTAATTTACTTCATTAGAATATATTTTTGGTTTTCTCATCATCTCATAGTTATAAAAGTGATCTTATAACTTATATTTTTTTATTATATTGATCTCATTATAAAGATAGTTGACCTTTGAGTTATCTACTATTGGTATAGTAACTTACTACGATAAATGTTTGCAATATAAAGGTGCCAAATATTTGATTATAAGATGTAATAAATACTTGAATTGAATTTTATAGTTTTTTTAAATCTACCTAATCACCTATATATAGCATTTCATCCTATCAATTGAAAATTAATAAGTTAAAAGATCCGTAAATTATCTGCGAGTAAAGTAACGGATACGGATACGGATATGGATCTTTATTTTCCGTCGGATATCCGCGGATACGGATACAACTACGGATATCCGGAACATCACTAGTATTAACGACTGCAAATGCAGCCGGAACCAACGGCTTAACGTGCCTTAATAATTTTCTGGTCACCCATCCCATGACCGACCCTTGCGAAAGTTGCTTAACGACAATGATCGCGGGCCGCGGCGCTTATCCACTACGCCACGAGGTACTCCGTATCTTTACTTTATTATTATTCTAACCACAGTTTCTTTATTTTATCTTTTTTATAATAAATAAATCCATTCTCAAGCTAGTGAGCCTTTCATTAATTGGCCCAAGCACCGAACTCGTCACAACCGGCGCCCCATTAATAAAAAAAAATAACAACATAAGCGTTGGTGGAAATCAAATGCATGTCGGTCATAGTTCGAGTGTGGAAGTTTAATTGTTTATGATGATGGTGGTAAATAAACTGTAGGTATATTGACAAAAGCCATCAACCTCTAGGTAAAGAAGGTTATTCATAGGCATATGCATTTATATATATATATATATATATATATATATAATATTTTGTATATATATTTGTTTCATAGCAATCAGAGTTATATATATATATATATATATATATATAATATATATATATATATATATATATATATATATATATATATATATAACTCTGATTGCTATGAAACAAATATCTGAAAACGGATTTTTTTTTTTCTGTAGAATCAAATGCAATAACATAATTAAAAATAAATATTGTGATTACCTCAGCGCCCACATATTTTTCTTGTCTTGCTCATGCATCTCGTACATAGGGTCTTTTTCGGCGGTAACTCGTAACTTCTCAAAATCTCTACCTAGCCGGGCGACTGCGTCCGGCGCTATAGTTTCAACGCGTTCCGAGTACGCGCGTACAATTTCTTGTTTAGGAAATAAAATTGGATATTGGCATTCGTAGCTGAAATAAAAAAATAAGTATTAAAATTTGAAAAATATATTTCATTTCTATAAGTTTTTGCGAAAAAGCCAGTGTGGTATATTCTGTTACTTTTATTGTGAAAGATAAAAGTAGTCGTTTCGAATGGTAATAGTAAATTTATAGACGATATTTATCGTGTTTTCTGGCGATTTGTTCTTCCTGTCTACCCCGTGTATGTATATCTATACGCCAGGTACATAATGAGGTAAAGGCTGACAGGACTAAGCGGCGCATGAGTTAGATACCTTACAGGGTAGACAGATCGTACAAGGCGTCATATAGATCATCTTCCTTACGAGATAGCCAGACGAGATAAAACGCCACATATGTCAGATACCTTACAGGGTACACACAGAGAACTGAGTGTCACATTAGCCATATACCTTAAAGGGTTACCATATACCTAAGAAAAGACTGAACACCAAGTAAGTCAGATACGTTACGGAGTAGACAGACACGACTGAAGCGCCACATAAATCAGACACCTTACGGGGTAGGCAGTTAGGACTGTATTTTAACACCACAAAGTATTTTCCTTACACACGTTTTCCGTTTGCTTACATTCATAGGTCATAATCGCCAGTCAACTATAAATAAAGCTACATAAACTAAGGTTTTACGTACTTTGAAAATCGGACTTGTAACGCTGCGCAGGAGTCTGTATTCGTACCAGTCAGTACAGTGCCCAGCGGATGTAACAGCTGATCGTCTCCTTGGGTCTCGTCTGCGACGTGTGTCGACATATATAAGGTCATACCGTCAGTAGGCAACTGGTCCTTGTAATCGAATATCATTGTATTCGCCCACGCCAATTTGTTGATGGAATCCTGAGGAATTTGAAAATGATAAAGATAACATAATAACACTTTATTGTACAACACATAACAAAGGTTAATAAATAATGAGTTACAAAGATAAAATCATTTGCACAATACGCAGCCTTATCGCTTGAAGAAGAAGCAATATCGTAAGTAGGCTGTGCGCATTACAAATACATTTAAATAATGTTATTAAAAATATTAATATTATTTAAAATAAATAAATATACAATGCTTAGAATAATAACAAGGCAAATTTCAAAAAGATTTCTGTTCATATGACAAAAGACTCCAGCGTTTGGACATGTCTCACATTTCCGGGTGAGGAATTGAGGTATCTAGGTGTACATGGATTGAACAGCACAGAAAAGAGAGGGGCTAAACATGTGTTGTTCTCTGGTGACACAGAGCGAATGGGAAGCCAATTCAATCTTTGACATTATTGAGAGACGTGGTCGTAATTTTAACTATTGGAAGGTTTTAATTGCAAACGTCAATGGCCTTAATAGGCATGTTTTTTTTACTTCAGGTAGATGACTCAAGAATATTAAACGGCTATAGTTTTATTTTTAGAGTAATCGATAATATGGCAATGCACTGAGTTAAATTGTCTCAGTGTATCGCCGTCATTGAAATGTAACGAGCTCCGTCTCTTGAAATTTAATGCTTGTTATCTAAGATATTCTATTATCTGATCGACGAACTAAATAGTATTCCCCTTCTTTTACCCAGGGATCATCACTATTGTGTTATTATTTAATAGACCTAAAATAAGAAATGGATAGAACCACTTTTTACCAATATACCATGTAAACATTAATATTGGCAGCCCACGTCATTCTAAGGTTGACTGATATAGAACGCCTAATGCCTTAAATCCGCCATTGTACTTTAAATGTGCATAAAGTATTTAATTAAAAAAAAAGTGAATATTTGTGTTTAACAAAAGCAATGTTATATGTATCTAAAAATCTATCGAAAATTGAAGTGAGTAAAACTTAGCTTGCAAGATAAATCTTGCCACCCATTTTAACTTGCCTGGAAGAAATTACTTTTTAGTAATAAGGCCGCCAATTGTGCATTAAATTTAATTGTATTCGATTGTTTTGTCCTGTATTGGTGTACAATAAAGCATATTTCATTCATTCATTCATTTATTCAACATATCAAAAGTTTGCAAAAAATTCTTTCAAAAAACAAACTTTCGCTGTAGCACGGTCGCAAAACAGAAAGAATTTCTTACAATGACTCGGCACTGCATATCGGTTTCACTCGTGCGCAAACTATAGCTATTGCGCTCGCATAGAGCCAATTTTGCCATTTGGACCTAAATGTTTACAATATCTATTAGTAAACATAGGTGCTATAACCGAATACTCTTCCGTTTAAGCTACCAAAGATCTAATGAGACGCTTTAAAAAAGCAAGCACAAAAAATACATTCATCTGAAAAACTCCCACATTATCCCTCTATAAATTAGAATTTTGATTATATCTATAAACTCGCCTTGCTCGCTTCTTTCCCGCGCTTCTTGCTCTTGATCTTGATGATTTCATAGATACCAAAGCAGAGACGAGCCATCCTGGGTACGTTATGGACTTTTACAGGGAATTTCAACTCCTGATCCCACTGTGCCACTCCATCACGAGACACGGGAGCAGCGCGAGTCTTCTGAGCCTCACACAACGCTTTCCCGCCATGGAATATGCCAGCTTGACAAATAACCTAGAATAAAGTACAATTATAGTAAACACGGTTGGAGAACCACACTATTTCTGTCAGCAATTGAATGTAAACTCTACGCATTAAAATTTAAAATTAAGTTTAGTGGAGATTTTTTACGTGCTGTCGAATTGTACGAAAAAATGTAGGTTTCATAATAAAACAAGTATTTAAAATTAACAATAAAACGAGATGAGGAATTTAGCTACTATTTGCTTTTTAAGTTATATGTCGCAGTCGTGTTATGTTCGGATTACAGAGCCCAAATTTCAATATACCAAAAAAATATATAAATATGAGCTTTACAGCCCAAAGATTAATGATGCAGTAACATGATCCTATACATTTTAAGGTTTCTTTTTGCTGTCTTCAAACGTTATTTTTCCATACGGAAATACTGCAGACGACCTTCCCATTTTAGAATAGGTATGTATATATAGAGGTATGTATATATGTCATAAACTAAACTTACTTAATAAAAAAAATCTTTAAGCAAATATATTTATTAAACACTCGAATTCCTATTTTTGTTAACACTTTACAATAAACGACAACTTAGAGACCCAAGCCTTATTATTTCTTCAAACTATTTCCATCCAATATCTTTTTCATTAGGTACTCTTTGAAAACTCTTGATCTCTTTTTTTATATTAATTTTGCATGGAAAGTGCCACCTATATTAATTTACCATAGAAAAATAGTATAAATAATAGTAATTAATAATAGTATTAATAATTAAATAAATTCTATGCTGTTATATCTAACCTCAACTACTCTGCCAGGATCTACGTTGAGTCCACCCACGCAGAGTACGGTACAAGAATAATTCTTATCAATGTGCCACGAAGATTCATTCTTGCGCTTGCGCATCGTGTTCGAGTGCTCCGACATCAGTCTATCACGTTCTGGTATACGATAACGTTGTGCATCAGCTGTCAAACAAAAATAAATTATCATATTAAACAACAAACTAACTCATTCATCTTCATGAAAAATTAAAATGATTGAGTTAACAGCAACGTGGAACAACGCCGCGTTCTGAAGTATATTTTTGCCCCTTTCTATTTTTATGAAAAAATAAAAAGACCTATGTATTAAAACGATATAAATACGTCTAGTAATCATTTAATAAAGATTAACCTATTATTATTAGTAGGATTTCTAACCTTACGTATCTAATCAATTCAGCTGCTTAAGACCCTATAGGTATACCTCTGTAAATCACCTATTTTAACCAATTGAACTGTTACATGAATCATTGAAATAATAATACTCACACAAAAACTGTAGTTTGTCCATGCTGATGGTCATCACTTGAGGCACGAGGTCGCGAGAAAGCATCTCCTGGATGTATTGGAATTGTATGAGCGGGTAGTCGCCGAACAGGTACTCTTCGCGACCGCAGACTTTTAGTACGTAGTTGGAGGCGTGCTCTATGCGCATGTTTAGTGAGGTCGCCTGCTTCCGGAGGATTATCTCAATATGTTGCTGCGGCGTGCGCGCGATAGGTACACATAGTGACGATGAAAACTAAAAAAAAAATTGTTACCTACTGAAAAGTTTTTATGTAATATTTACATGTATAATTGAGATCAAATATGTCTCTGGTGTTAAAATTTAATTAATTATTATTTTTAGCGGAGTTGAGCTGGCTGGAGTAAGATAGTCGAAGTGTTCAAGCACAGTGAACCGATTAAAGCGTCTAATAGCCTGATGCACCAACGTACATTAAAATGGACATAAGTTTAATGTGACATTACCGATTCAAATATCACGTTCATTATAGCTTAAAGGCGTCATTAAACCTTAATGGACGTTTGTGCAAATGCCGTAAGTGCGGAAAATTTGCAATGACGTTAAGAATAAAATCCAGTAATCAAACTTCATAGTGTTAATTTTGATGGTCACCGACTTTGACGTAATATAAATTGTCAAAAAGACACCCCAATCACTGGTTGTACAACTTTCATTCATTTCATTTCATATGTAGAAATTAATTTAGCTCATATAATCACTTGAAATTGGCAGAATTGTGCGGAATGCGAAAATAAGTCATTAATAAAAGAAGCAGAAGAACTCCATTCGTTTAAATTGAATTATAATTGAAAACAACATGTTAAAGTCACGTTTCAACCTAGCGCAATCAGAAGAAGAGGAAAACAATGAAACTGCCGAATATGAACAAGAAGGGGATATTGGTGAGATGAGAGAAATAAAAGGGGAGGACGCTTTCGAGGAAGAAAAGATCGTATATCCTCACCGCCCAGTGATGAAAGGCGACGTCATTTCAGGGCTCAGTTTGTTGGGAAAAACTGCCTCGGGAGACGGGTGAGTAACATGCCAAAAACGGAATTACAATTTCATGAATCCTCTATTATTTGAAATTTTAACCAAATTACATCTCTTCCTACAGATATACATACTTAAAGGTAACTCTAACAGGTCTAAAGCTGACAGATTTGACATTACTGAAAGGCTACAAACACCTACAATATGTCGACGTTTCCAATAATAATCTAGAATCCGAGGCCTTACAGCTGCTTGCTGAACTACCATTTTTAGTCCTTATACAAGCTGATAACAATGTTTTACATTCAGCCGCTCTAAAGAGAATGAAGTACCTTCAAGTTATCATTATGAATAACAACCTAATCACCTCAGTTGATGATGTTTACCAACCAGAATTGTGCACTTTAGAAATTGGCTACAATAAGATACACAGAGTAGCATTCACCAATAAAATGCCGCATATTAAAGTATTAGATTTCAGATACAACTTTATTGAGAATATTGCCGAATTCGACTTTCCAAATTTGGATAGTTTATATTTGGCCGGCAATAAAATAACTAGCCTCCAAGGATTAGAGAAGCTTGTGAATTTGAGGATACTACATGTGCGGAACAATCCTATAAAATTGCTAGATGGATTCCATGAGTGTCTAACAAAATTACAATATGTTAACTTGAGGAATTGTAAAGTATCGACTTTACGACAAGTTAAAAAGTTAAGGGTAATATAAATAAATTAACAGTGAAGTGATTGAATTTTAATGAAAAAATAAATAAATATATGTATATTAATCTCAGGTGTTGAAAAATTTGGACGCTTTGGTGATGAAAGGATGTCCTTATATGGGAGGGACAGGTGAAGAGAGTCCAGAGAATGCCCAGGAAGAAGAGGACGCCGAAATTAGAATTGAAGTGCTTGCGACACTGCCCCGGCTCAAGAGGATTAACAAAGGAGTTATCACTCCCGAAGAGAGGTATTGAATATTTTAAAGTACAGTCATAATACATATCTTTCACACCAATGACTTTTGCAGCTCTTTTCATACATACTCGCCAGATTTTCTGGTTTGTGATATGATGAATATTGTATTTGACTACTAATCTGGCCATCATTCATTGCCAGGCCAGCATTAATTTTATCCGAAAATGGTTATACTATTTAAAAGCTTGTGTTTTCAAAACATTAAGTCATTCTTGAATGAGTTCATATAACATTTAAGGTTCTATGCTTCTAGGCTATAGTAAATGTAATAAATAATATAAAAGATCTTAGAAGCCACAGAGTATTATAAATTTACTTTTTCCTTAGTTTCATATTTATATTTCATAATAAACTTGAGTATCTATGTAATAGACTCTAGAAGTGGTTTTAATTATTAATGTAAATAAAAAATTACAGAGCTGAAGCTAAAGATCTAATGACAACATGGCTTGAAGAGGGTGAAAAAAGTGAAGAGGAAATTGAAGATGAACATGCTGAGGAAGAATCTAATGTGGAAGATTGAAATTTTTGGTATAGCATGGTCATCATGCGTGTAGAATTTCATAAAATAACCCGTTGTTACATATCTCTTTCATTTGTGCGCATACATATTGCTATTGCGCTCACACAGATGCATCTAGCCAATTTAGTCATGGTAAAGTGAACCTAAAATGTTTAAGATATCTATTAGTAGGCGCAAAGGTCAACATATGAAATTCTACCTGTTTAATGGCCATGCTATAGTAATTTTTCTTACATAAGGAAGAATTTTAATTCTGTTATTATGCTGATTATATTGATTTTACATAAAATTAAATAATAACACTTTAAAAGTATTTTTTATTTGTCAAAATAATAAATATAAATATAAAAACTAATATACCTCTGAATTGGCAAACTTTGTGACAAGTATGAAGCAGTTCTTATTCAGATGGCTTTTGAGTGTAGCAGGCACTGGTTGGTCAGCAAGTCTTGGTGGGCACTGATATCTTAGCCTCTCCTGCCATGTGCTTTGTAATCTTCGCATTAGACTCTCTTCAGCTAAACAGCGCATTTGCTTGCGAAAATCATTTACTTCAGAGCTTCTCAAACTATCAAATTCATTTAATCCTACAAAAACAAAAATTATATATTATTTGACAAAATCTAATATTATAATGGTGATTGCATATCTAACAGTTGAAGGAAATACAACAAATTTACACCTTACAAATGATAGCTAACATTAAAATAGAATTATGACAATTCACTTTCTTTCACCTGCTTTTGGGTACTTCTCTGATTTCGATGAAATTTGGGCAAAACAAGAGAATATTTTAAAAATTGAAATTTCTTATGTATTTTGAATGAACATCTATAATATTGTAAATTAATATTTTTTTACGTAATTGCACTCATAACTTTTCCAATTATAGGCTTCTGAAACTTAAACGTATGAAGGTAATGATTTATAGTTTGATGGTAATGAAAGTGGATATAAGTATTTTTATAAGTATAAGTATTTTTAATGTATTTTTTTATAAAATAATTGTCATAAAAGTAAAATAAACTTCTTATTACTTTGAAATAATAAATAAAGACACTCAATCATATAACTTAGAGATGCTCACAAGTTAACGATGACGAATCAACATACTTGGCTTTTTATCACAATCATATATATTAACATAACATGATTAAAACAAAAAATAAAACCTTTCACCAACAAAAACAATCAAAAGACTAATTCTTAATGTAACATACTAAATATGTTCTACATATCATCATCTTCACAATGTTAATTCTTCATTTAAAATATGTTAAATGTATCATCATCTTCGCTACTTTCATTCTCTTTTTCTTCTATCCTTTTTTTTTCAACGTGTTCTTTGTTAGTCTCTTTCAAAGATTTCATGGTATTACTTGACTCTCCCATATCTGTCAAAAATTCTTCAAAAGCTTTGGAAAACTTATTCGGAGCATATTTGCCGAGTTTAAGAATGGAGTTACATGAGTTCGAGGAGGCACAGGAAAACAAAATCTACAGCAAGCGTTCTGAACTCGCTGAATCAGCTTTCGAGTTTTAACATATTAATTCATATCACAATGCAACATTCAAACAATAGTAAAAAAAAAATTCATCCCCATCAGTTTACTATCATTACCTTCAGATTTAAAACTGAAGGTAAATGAAGGTAATGATACCGAAGGTAGTGATTTTTTGCAGTATTTTGCTTCTCATGCTCAAATTTAAAATGATATTGTTAATTAGCAATAAATTATAATAACTTGTCCTTACATGCAATATATGTATAATTAAATCACTGAAAAAAACATGGTACTTATTCTACAATTTTGGTCTTGGTAAAGATGACAAACTCGTGACAAAATAAAATTCCATTCACTATTTTCAATTCTGCTCCGGCAAGCTGCGCGTGTGGCATCCCGGCTGAACTGTGGTTGCAACTGAGCAGTATGTGAGTGCAGACCAAGGGAGGTAACGCAAATAGGGTTTATACAGAAGGGTAGAGAGCTGCTTAAATGTGGGTTGAAGGTAATGAACGTTTTTCGTGTGACAAATGTTTAATTATTTCTTATTTTAATAAAATGAAGAATATATTTAAAATGAAAATATTAAGTTATGCTAGAATGTATATGCTCATAATATATAAATATTATGAGCCTCAAATATAACTTTATCATGTAAATAAAAAATGGATTTTAAAATATTTCTGTTAAAGACACTGATGGTAGTGAATTTTTGGTTCTAAAAGTGAGCATATCTTTGATATCTTTTAATTTTGATTTTTTATTTCTGGGGCACTGCTAGCCTAATGTGCAACAGTTAATAGAGTATACAGGTAATATTTGTATTTCAATAATTAATTTTTTTTTTTGACGCAGAAGTGCTTTTTCCTCGAAATCAGAGAAGTACCCTTTTGCATGTTCTATTCTGATAGATATACAATCTTGAATGTGATAGTGTATTTTTATGCCTGTTTTTCGTTTACAATGTTTGTATTGATTGTTGGGAGGATACTCTTACTTTGAAAATAAAACATCTTTTTCTTTAACCACAGGTAATCTAACTATACTATATATCTAACTTACATCTAACAATTTTTCCCAGGGAAAAGTATGAAACTCATGCAATTTTTTCATAAGAATAAATAAATATATAAATATTCATGTTCACAAACATTGCTAAGGTCCCAAATAAGGTTGCTGAAGCACTTTTATTATGGCAATCAGAAACGATTAAGGTCCCACAGCAGGCGAGCTCAAGAATATAGAAAAAAATATTTTCTACATTGATCTGGCTAGGAATCAAATCCAGATCATGGGACTTAGTAATTGGTTATAAATAAATGTTACAACATTTACCTTTTCCAATTAAGTGACTAATCTGTGTATTTAATAATTGTTCTCCTGGTCGCTTCACAGATCTTTCTATTATCATAAGAACACCACATACTGGTTTGATGTCTCGGAGACGTTTATTCTCATCATCAACCTCCTCTGGTGCAGCAAGGGAATTGACAAATTGGAAAACATAACCAGACATCTCATGGAGCATCCCAAATAAGGGATAACTCCCTGCTCTGTCCCATAGTTCCTGTAAAATTGATAAATAAATAATAAAAAACTATTAACAATACAAGATATAGTCTAGTTGCATTACATATCTCTTACGCTACTGCACAAACTGCGCAACACTCACACAGATTCATTCACTAAATTTTGTCGAGTTGTTGAACAAGTCTTAAATGAGTAACAAAAGTTAACAGACATTACGAAGGAATGCTAGAAGTTTGCTTTACAAACTAATATGCCAACCTGATAGAATGTTTGGGATAAAATGATAATATTTTTTATAACTGTAACATTTATTTTGATTAAAACACTACATTTATTTCAGCTGCAATGTGTAATTACCAATATCTAAATACTTTAAGTAGAATAGAAAATTTTCAATCTTTGCCTTCCCAAATTTTTTGTTTTCTCCAGGTCTATTTTTAAAATCGTCTTTCCATCATTACTAGCAATGCAAAAAAAAGACATTGAATGTTTATGCTTAACTACATAACACTTATTACAAACTATATAGCTTTTTTTATTAAACAATTGCAGTCCATGTGTATTTAATAAATAGTACCATACCTTGCTCTGATTATAAATAAATATGAAATATAAGCTATTAGCTTTAGAGACTGCTTGGCTACTAACCTCCTTGACATCATGAAGAGTAGCATCCCAGCTCACTTTCAAAGGAATGTAAATAGAATTGGGTAGGAGACATGTCAGCTCTACATAGTCCGATGGTGAGGACGTCCAGTAGTCCCATGTATCAGGACAACTCGGCGCAGGAACCATTGTTTTGATAAATTCCCGTCAAAAATTCCAAATTACCCTCGCAACATTTCGTTGACCTTTTACTGATAAGCTTCAACAACAGCGACAGTGTCACTGTCTCCAACTGAAAACATTGCCCAGTGAAGATTAGTCACTGATATTGAGACCACCGGGGTGTTGATTCATAGCATTTCCTGGTATTTACAAAAAGCAAATCGCCATTCGAGAGCTGTCAACGTTTCACAAATGTTGAAAAACACAAATTTGTTATTCCAGTACCTAGATGTATACTGTTTACATAATTCTAAACTTCATTTTTTATTAAAATGAATATCACTGAAAATTATGTAGAAATTGAAAATAAAGATTACGTGCAACACAACTACTCCTGTGTTATTTTCACAGACTAATTTATTTTAGGTACCTGAGTATAAACAAGCAAACAGCCCTGCACGAGGAAGTTAAAAAAAACCCACTAAATAGCACTTCCATTACTAGATGGCGACCGTAGCAAAAGTTGATTTTTGCAGAAAACGAATGAACCAAAGATAGTCATTTCCGTTCCTTTTAGCTAACATATTAAAAAACTAAAATTTGCAAAGTTCGAAACATAGATATCAATACAAACACGAAAAAGTACAAATAGAACATAAGTTGTTTATTGAGTTTTGAAAACAAATTTACTTTTATACATGAAAGAAAACCGGAAGAGTCGCCATGGACAAATCAAGAAAGTCCATAGCGACATCTAATTTGATTTCGGGAACTAATTTATTTTTTAAATACTTCTTCATTCTGTAAATTTCCAAACCTGTATTCAAATTCACTCATTTGTCCAAATTCACTTCGAGAGTGAGATCTGCTTAATTACTCAACTTTATTGAATTTCAAACAATTTCCTTACGAAAAAATATTATTTAGGTTTTTCTTCTTTTTACACTGTTGATGAAATAATATATTATCTCTCTTGTGTCAATGCAATGAAAAGAACGCTCGATTTATAGCATTCTGTCTACGGTTCAAAAACATATCTTGGAACAGTTGCCAGGACGTATCATGATTTTGCCCAGATGTCGGCACCATCAAATAAACCCCTATACTAAAGCTTTCAAAGTAACAAAGTAACCTTAAAATTGTCTATGGTATGACATTGACAAATCTTTGACAATTAACATGTGCGATATTTGACATTTGTCTCGTGATGCTAAGATTTGGTTTAGCAATGTTTTTATTATTTAGATTGGACAAGTAAAATGTTTGAACATTCAATTAAAGTTCCAAGACAGTATAAAGTTGCAGCAAATATTTTTAAAACAGTTTCTACAGAAGGCGGTAGTGTTAAAACGCTATTATACGACGACAAGCTTCGGCACTTTGTAAGTCATATTTTCATTCAATTTTATTTAAAACTAATAGCAAATATAAAAACTGCAGTCAAATCATATATTATCGAAATTTGCAGAGAACCAATGTGCTATATGCACTCATAACAGAAACAATTAAACATGCAGCTGACATTGATAAAATATTTGAACACTGTGATGTATTAAAGAAAGAATCTAGATTAGATCCATGGCTAGCGAAAGTATTGACGGCCGAATTACTCTTTGGCAAAAAAACTCTGCCTGGCAAAAGCAAACCTGAACAAACAATACTATCATACAAAGAGCAATTTGAGAAGTATACTAATGAAAACGAGGATACATTGAAGCTTGAAGGTAATATTTAATTTCTTTTTCCAGATCATAAACTAATTTCATTCATCATGGCAGAAACCAATGAGGGTCCTCTGATACCAGAGCATACAAGACGAGCAACATTAATACTTGCAAATCTATTCATTTACAGTGTTGCTATGTTTACTCTACCTTTTGTAGCATTTTTCGGAGTAAAACATATACTCACTGAGTACTATCCTGTTAGTAGTTTCGCAATTACTGCTTGGTCAGTGATTGCAGCAGTAGTTGTTGTCAATACTATAATCTGTGTTTATGCGTATAAAGCTTACCATGAAAAAGAGTATGATGAACAAGGCAATGAAATAGACCAACATTCCTATGAACCTTTGCCTTTAAAAGAAACAACAGAAAAAAGTGGTTTAAACTTAAAACAAGATTAAGATTATATAACCTTTACATTCCAGTGTTAAATAATGCATCGGTCCCCAGGAGCATCATTATTATCATTAATTTTTTCATATATCTACACTACAAGCCCAGGGACCGATGAACTATATGTTCAGTATTGCGTAATGAAATATGTCAGGCTAATGCATTGTCATAAAATGGTGTGTTCATGAGAAATAATAAAATATGAGATTTCCTAATTTTGTTTTATTGATTACAGTTTGTTTTTGTTTAGTTATAGAAAGTTGTTTTATCATTGGAAAATTGAGGTCATGTTAAAAAAAAATCTTATGATATTGAGTTTGTGAAATCATTCTCTTTATTGTGTTGTTGTTGTATTGTTACTTCTCATTACTATCCATTATGTACCGACTGCAGGGGCTCAGGTGTTATGGATGATTAAGGTGGTTGGGCCATGATTTATTATTATTGGGTCATAATACTCCATGGTGGCCCAATATGGATTGGAGGGTATTAACAACTGCAAATGCAGCTAGGACCAGCGGCTTAATGTGCCTTCTAAATTACGAAGTAGTATGAGATAATAATTTTTTGGTCACCCATCTTGTCATTGGCACTGTGGCAAAGAAGCTTAAACATAACAATTGCAAGCAGTGGCACTTATGCTACTCCTATCAAGTAGGTATTTGGCTTTATATAAATAAAGTGTCAAATTTGTAATTTAATCTAATAAGGCATATTTTTTACTATTGCTATCCACTATGCTACTGAGCTACTCCTATCAGTAGGTATTTGGCATTAAATATATATATATAATTGTTACACAATAGAAGTAAAAATTCATCATGATCATAATATTTCCCATAAGGTTGAACTGAAAATAAAGTATCAGATTTGTAATTTAATAAGGCATATTTTTTTACTATTGTTACATATGAATTTCACAAGAAATTTTCTTGAATCGCCTTTTTAACCAATTTAAACAAAAAAGATGTCAATTGGAAATTATGTTACTTTACACCGGCTAAACACATTTATTGTATTTTGTTGTACTTATTTCTTCCAAATTTGACTCCAGATTGCAACTGGTCTTTTTTATCTGTTTACAAAATCTGCTTAATAGTTTTGAAGAAAACTTTTTAAGGAAGCTTCTAGTGAAGTGGAGCGGTTAATATTAATTGGCTACAACACAATACATTAGGTTGGCTCACCTTATTGGCCAATGTGGATTGCAGGGTATTTGCGATTATACCACTAGCAACAACGGCTTAAAGTGCCTTCTTAGGAATGGAGGAGCTTAAGATGGTTAATTTTGGTCACCCATAATGATAGACTTGCGAAAGTGACTTAAACTTACAGTCGCGGGCTAAATGCGCTAACCAATTCGTTTTATCTATGATGCTATAATCATGCATATAATATACCGGTAAACAGTGCTTAAGCGCGAAGCGATAGCTGGCTTATGCGTCATACTTGTGAACAGGTACCGCAAGTGAAGATGTGTCCGCTCTAGGCTGCTTATTCTTGCCTTTTTACTTTTAGCATCATCATCACTCCTTTTGCGTCCCCTCTGCAAGGAGCTAAGGCCTTCCTTATGGATGGTTAAGGAGGATGGCCCATGACCCTCCTTGCTGACTCAATGCAGATTGGAGGGGTTACATTGTATATTAATTAATTAGGTATTATCAATGAGTGGCATGTGAATCAATTGACAAAATTATAACTTTTTTTAAATATTGTGATGGAAAGTGTCTTTATGTGTCTAAGAAGATTTTCGATTAGCTTTCCCTGTATACAATAAAACGTAGAGAAAAAGCAGGCAATGCTGACTTTCTTTCCGATTCTTTTCGGTACAAGGACCTTGTACTACGCCAGCAGACCTTGTAACAAGGTCTGCTGGCGTAGATTTATGAACCAATGGCTATTAGAAGTGCTTGTAACAGCCTAGACTAAATAGTTAGATGATTTGATTTACATCAGACTAGCGAAGTAGAATCATTTTATTGATGTATCTTAGTCTCTAAGGGACTCTCTAGCATTAACATCTACTACTCGCTCGAATTAACATGACACCTGTAACCCATTCTATTTCCCCGAAAACGACCTTTCGTCTATTTTCGAAATGTCAACGCGACTCCAAAGAAACACATTTTTCGATAATATATGATTTAACGTAGGTAAGTAAGAGACTTGACATTGCCTCTGATATGATTTAAACAAAATTATAGGAACTCTAACGTCATGTTGATTCGTATGAGTTAAAAAGTTATGTTACTGTCCTCCAGTGAGGGAAGTGATAGATTAGAATGTGATGGTTAAAGGTAGTAAATATATTTTGTTTTGAAATAGTTGTTCGCAGACCGAGATATGTCCGAGTGAACACTAACTTGCTCGCCACATCTGATGCGATTAGATCGTTCCAAGACGAAGGGTACCGCTTCATCCGATGCACCTCCAGCTCTTACGACGACTACTTGAAACAGATCCAGCAGCTAACTGAATATGATTTCGTGCAGGACTACCATGTCAAGACTATTTTTGTGTTCCCCTCTGGGACCAAGTTGCACGAACACGAACTTTATTTGGAGAATAAAATTATACTACAAGACAAGGTAAAGACTTCAATGATAAGCACTCAACGAAAGTAGAGAGGATAGTTGTTTATTAGAGTACAGACAAAAACTATTTTGCGAGATTTTAGTTGCGATAGTTTTGTCATCGGGAGACCCAATATCTTTGTCGCTATATTTATTGTAAGGAATGTATCGCTTCTCGCCAGCAATGTGAACCACATTGCTGGCGAGAAGCTGGTCAGAGCGATGTCTCTTCTAAAACATAAAGAATAAACATAGTTCTTGCTTATCTTGACTGACAAAATAGTTGCATATACCTGTAACTAAATGCATTGAAATTTTAAAATGCTGAAATAAGACATTAAAACTCTTTCTACTGTAATTAAAATGGGTTGTATATATTTTTATGTAGGCCACAGCGATTGCGGTCCACTTGTTGGCACCGCCCCCGGGTAGCGTAGTCCTGGATATGTGCGCCGCGCCCGGTATGAAGACTACACAACTTGCTGCTTATATGAGAAATCAAGTAAGTAAAATAAATGAACTTCATTATATTATTATTTTATACAAAATAATTGCTTTCTATTTTTTATAGTTTGATGTCATCCGTATCCTAGTGGTTCACACGCCGGTTTCAAAAAGACGCCATCTCTGAGATCCCGTTCGATTCCTATTCGGTTCAATGTAGTAAATTAACTTTCTATATAGTCTCGAGTCTGGGTGTTGTATCACCTTCGTTGTCTCAGATATTACTCCAAAATATTAGGGATTAAGTTACTCATTGAGAATTTGACTAATGCATGTTGTGCTTTTTAAAGATTTGACTCGTAAATATAGAAATCAATTTAAATGCAATTGTAAATTTGCATTTTTTATCATATGACGAAAGAATATATTTTTTGTATTAGATGAAACGAAACGTAGTAAACTGTCATTGGGTCCGAATCGCATTGAGGTAGTAATCATAGTACCATTTAAAAATATTTATAAGCCTCGCAATTCTTATCTTGACTTTATTTTAAGATTTAATGATCTGATATGAAATAAGAAAAAATAAGCTACATTTTGAAATATTAGACATATTTCTATCACTAGATGCATTAATAAATTTTAAGATCAAAATTGGATATGATTGTTTGTTTAAACAATATATGAATAATAGGACTCATACATCCCTAAGTCGAAGGGTAAATTATCTAAAACTGTTATCTTAAATAGCAAGCAAAGCTCTGAGTCGATTTTCCCATCTAGGAGTCGTATCTAAGAAAGATCTCGGAGATATATTTTGTTGTTAGCGTGAGAGACACTCGACTGTTCCTTTTTACTAAATTAATTGTTTCGTGTTATCCAAAAGATCTAGTTATATGCAAATTTCTGCAATGTTACAAAACACCATTCAATAAACGTCTGATTTTTGTCACTAACAGGGTCAAATCTATGCTGTGGAGAGAAACGAAAAGCGGTACAAAACTTTATGTGACTTCGTTGAAAAAACTGACTCCAAATGTGTAAAAACTCTTCATAGAGATTCGTTAGACATTAAGAGAGGTGAATTAGATGATGTGGAATACATTCTCCTAGATCCGAGCTGTTCAGGTTCAGGTAATTCCAACTCCATTTTAATTTACTTAGGTTTTAATATTCATACGGGACGGTTGATACATATCCGACGAAAGATCCGTAGCGAAGTAACAAATGTTTCCATGAGACGCTTAACAGACTTCCCGTCGGATTTGCACCAACTCTCAAGACCATTTGTTGACGAAGGACTTTCTGTAGCCAAAAACAGTTTTCACCTTTCAAATTCGAAGCAGTTAAGTCAAAATCTATATTAAAAATATGTTATGAGAACGTGGATATGACAAACAAAAAAAAAAGGCCGGCCGGATTGCGTGCAATGGTTATGTATATGTCGTAAATGCGACACAAAATGATCCAGGTATAAAAGTAAAATAAAAAAAACCTGTTTTGTTACATAATTTTCAAAGTAACTTTTTTATGAACAATAAAACATTGTTGTTTTATGACCACCTAATAATTTGTTACAGGCATGGAACTTTGTGTTCACAATTACATTGAGGATACGAGATTGGCTAAATTGACATCACTACAAGAAAAGTTTCTAAAACACGCCATGAATTCATTTCCTAAAGCTAAACGCATAGTATACAGTACTTGTTCCCTGTTTCCCGAAGAAAACGAAAGAGTTATCACTAATGTTGTCAAAACTTCCCGTTCTAAATGGAGAGTGCAAGATGTTAAGGAATTATTGAAGGGCCAGTGGAATAACATGGGGTCCGGTATGTATGGTAGTATGGGTACCAGATGTATGTATGCGAAGCCAGAATCCGATTTCACCATTGGATTCTTCTTAGCAGTGTTAGATAGAGACCAAAAAGAACTGGAAAAGAGTCTTATTGACAATAAAATGCCCAAAAACATAGAAATGATAAATGAAACCCATACAGACACAGCTCCTTCTGTTATCAATGAAACTAATGAAGAGATACATAAAAAAAGAAAAAAGCAAAAGAATAAGAAGACAGAAAATATAAATGAAGACCATTATTGTTATGATGAACAATTAACTATATCTAATGAACCTGAAGTAACAATCGACACTTCTTTGACAAATAAAACATTAACTACAAAAAAGAAAAAAAATGAACACAGTCAAGTTGTCGAAAATGATAAAAATACACCTAATACTGACACAGCTGAAGACAAGCCTCCGAAAAAGAGGAAGATGGAGAAGAAATCTCTTGATAATACTATTGTTGAAACCGATTTATTAAACAATGAAGAACCATTAATAAAAAAGAAGACGAAAGCTGAAGAAATTATTGAAGATGATACTATTAATGGTGGTCCTATAAAGAAAAAGAAGAAGCGAGACAAAATTTACGATGAAAACTTAATTAGATCGAATCAACTCGATGTAACAGACGATACTTTAACAAACGGTGTAAGTGCCACTAAAAAGAAGAAAATTAAACACAGTGAACCCGTTGAAAATTATGATAGTGTGAATCAGCAGAGCACAGCAGAAGAAAATCACCCGAAAAAGAAGAAAGCCAAAAAATCTTTAGAAGACACTATTGATGAAAACGTTACATTAGACAGTGAAGTGCAAGATAGTGAGGTACCACTAATAAAAAAGAAAAGGAAGAAGTCGAAATCTAAAGAATTCGCTGAAGATAATTCTATTGATTAGGCCTTTATAAAGAAAAAGAAAAAGCGTGACAAATGTGTGGAAATGGAATAATAAAAAATATATATATTTTAATTATAAACTGATTTGAATAAAGATTATTTCCATGAATTCATTATTTTTTTCATATTGTTTAAACCTATAAATTGTCAATTTCCATATCTTTAATCTTTTATTTATTTCGTCTTTAAAACAGGCTGAATTTTCAAACATTGTAACGCCCTATCGTTTAAAGCACATTTAAAAACATATTTTTTAATTTCGTATTTAAATGTTGATTACTAGCATTCCACTAGCGGCGTCGCCCGCGATGTCCTGTGTTATAGGTCTATGTCGGGCTGATGTTGACGAAGATGTACCTAAAAAAGCATATAACATAGAATAGTCAAACAATTTGTGTAACCAAGTGTGGTAACAGGGTCACGCAATAATATTTGCACAGGACGGGATAAGAACCCGAGACCTTCGTAATTGTTATTTATGTAGTAATAAGAGTCATTTTAGCTTGCACATTATGAGAGGTATGGCAAACGCCGAAAGCGACTATTTTTTTATATTTAATTTTGCACATACGTATTTATCGTAACAAGTATATGAAACTGTGTAATAACGTTAAGTTCCATGAAATATCTAAATATTCAGCGCTTGAGAGGCGTCCCCTTGTACAGCGCACCCCTTGCACCCCCGAGTAAAGACGGCCCTGTTCCTATCAAATAAGCTCGAATAAGAAATAAGCAATGAAAACAGTTGTTTAGCATACAAATGAGATGTCAATAGTTACCTACAAATAGAGGAATGTATGTCATTACATTTTCATGACTCATTTCATTACATTCATCATCATCATGCAGCCGGGACCAAAGGCTTAACGTGCCTTCCGAAGCACGGAGTAGCTCGAGATAATAATTTTTGGTCACCCATCCCGTGACCGACCCTTGCGAAAGTTGCTTAACGATTACAATCACGGGCCGCGGCGCTTATCCACTACGCCACCGAGCTACTACATTCATATATGTATGTAATTATTCTGAACAAGACATCGTAAACAAGAAACTGTATGTTACTGGTAGTGTGTTACTTTCCCTTTGTATCAAATCAGATATAGGTGCCTTTAACTATTAACTTATATTTGCTAAGTTACAAAGAACCCGATAGAAATCATTTAAAGTAGCCGCTAAAAAACCTAGGTATTAAGTAGGGCAAACATCATAAACGCTATTTCTAGACGTCTAGCCGCCGTTACGAAGAACCGAGTTACATTTTTTTTATTACGCCATATCGCTTGTGACAATTTCAACTTTATTGCCATAGAATAAGTTATAATGGCTGTATTGAGTGGTGACACTGGTTCGCACGCCCCACCCAGTCACGATATGTCGTGTGCCCTTATTTTTTTTTTCTTATATGTTAAGTGTTGTTCATTAACCTACCTTTTTTTTAATTGTCACGGTTGATTTTTTAATCTTACACAACAAAGACCTGCTTTCATCCGAACGTAACTAATGCGTTTATGTTAATTAACAGTGCTATTTTGTTATGGAAACAACCTCGAATACGTCGAGAACAGCTCTATCACAGCATAAAACCTACTTCAATCCGTAATAAAAGTTTTATTTCATTAAAGCTCTAGGCTGTCATAACGTTAGCACATGATGTCGAATTGAAGGCTGTTTTTATAACAGAATGGCGTAGCAGAAAGAATGATAATGTTACAAATTGGTAAATAAAACCAACTATAATCCTGACGCCAATAATGACAACTCTGCGCTACGCTTTTCGTCAGAGATTACAAAGACGCATTGAATTTTAATATTTTAGAACTTAACTGTATCTAACCTCATAATGAGTTCAAATTATGAACTCGCTAAAGTTCTTTTTCCACTGTAACGTGCCAAACCATGACCATGCTAGAACGAATCAATCACGATCAATCAATCGCGTGCTAGAACCTGTATGTAACCCATATAATACTTAACCTTAATATATTTTCTTTGTATTGTACGGTACGAGGCGATATCCATGGAATCTCTTCTATGAGGTCTATGGCGCAGTTGTTAGTGTGTTAGAGGTTTGAGATTCGTAGTTTAAAACTAAAGGCTAAGGCCGATCATATGATGAGTGACCAAAAATTAAATTAAAATATTTAAAACTATCCTATGTAAAAGCATTTTGTAAAGACTTCAGTTTTAGATTAAAATTACAGTTTTCTTTGATCTGTTAATCTGAATCAAGTTAGATGTTTGAATATGGGGATAATACGAGATGCCCGGATAGGCATAGGATAGATTTTATCCCAGAAACAATACTTGGAAAAACAGTAAAGAAAGGTAGGAGTTTCTATAGGAAATCATTCATTTAATTACATTTTTATACACATACATACCAAGATAAATTTTCGCTTAAAAATCACTGATTAACTTTTATTAATGAATTCTATTGATGAAAACTCTGAGGAAAAATTAGTTACTTATTCCACGGAGCTACGTCGCGGGGCATAAACTATAACTCTATTTTTAACATTAGGAAAAAGAAGACAGAAGCAGGGCTGCAAAATATTTTATTTTCAAGATAAATTATAAAAAAACAATAATTATAATAGTTTTCTTAAAAACTGTCAATATTATTATTAAACATGAGTATTCTGAAAGAGCAGGGCAATTTTCCTTCTTTACGATACACAGGTGTTGAGATGTGGCTGACTATAATAACATGGAACTAATGAAACTGATAAATTCTTATTGTAAATGTATCTAGTCTAGAATGCAGTACTTTTAATTTTATGCCCTTTACTCAGACATTGTATCATTAACTTGTTGATTAGAAAAAACTTCTTTAAATGTCAGGGTTAGATCAGACATGGAGACTTTGATTTCCCACTCTAAGATGCCTTTATTGGCCCTTTTTACGTGGCGGTATTACTGAAGAGATTATATAACATTTGAAATCTCTAGTGATATAGATATAGTGAAATAAGAAACTTATCATCACCCCTGCTTCTTTGGGTTCTTAAAGATAGACACTTTTTAATTTAATTGTTTTTAAATCATTTATTTTTGTTAAATGCTCCTAAATTTCTTTTATAGATTGATAGACGATAGCAGTTAAGTATGACTGCTGGTAAATATATTGATTTAAAGTAAATTAGGTATCAATGATAACAGTAACACGATTATTGATGTTTTAACACAAAGTGTACCCTAGAAAGAACCTTATTTAACTTCTGGCTAATGTTAAAAAAAATAAATTATAGTTATTACACACGGTCTTTTCGGGTGTGAAATCATAACGGGTTCATTGTAAATATGACGTGGTTTACTTTAAAAAAAATGGCTTGGTATTTGTGTTTAGAATTCTGTGCGTGAATGTCAATCTGATAAAAAATTAATAAACTTTAATAAGTATATAATAAATATCACTAAAAATAAATACAGTTAATGTCTCTCATTACATTATTACTTTTGGCTATATTTAAAAAAAAAAATCCTTTCCATTTGTTTCCGCGTAAGTAATATTAACATATAAATTAACCTTTTCCAAAAATAACGCAGTCAATTATTTATAAATATTTTGTAAATAATTTATTTTTGACGATTCTAAAGTGATTGTAATCAGTTTTATTCAATAAAGTATTTCCCATTTTCATATCTAGTTGAAACGAAAACCTTACCCGGAGGTCTTCAAACTCTTGAAGCTGTGAAAACATAAAGCTTCCTGATTAACGTAAAAAATATTTAAGTTGCATAAAATTGTTACCTAAAGCGGATTTAAAATTGATAGAGTACTTCCCGTTAACTTTGGCAAATAAAATCGTTCTATGTATATTTTAAGCTCTAGGAAACCTCTTAAAATTATAGTATTTTTCAATCTATTAAAAGACTACATTTTTTCAAAGATTTGCTTTGAAAAATGTAGGCTTATAGGATAGGATTGAAATTCAAAATCAAAGTTTAAGTTAGGTATCTAATGAAAAAGCTTGATGTTCATGGTTCAAAACTTATTTTAACAACTTTTAAACTGTTTCCTCGCTACTAATTACTGGATCCCAAGCCGGTGGTATATAATAGAGATGAAGGTGACTATTTCTTGATAGATCAATCGAGGTCTGGGCGTCCAATAGAAACAAATATAAATTAACTGAGGACGTTAATTGAAGAATGCATTGAGCTGCATGCATTAGAAGTCTTTCAAATTGGGCGTTTGGGTACCCATCAGCTGACCATGGATCAACTCGCTTACCGTGCAGAGATATGTGTACATCTATTATCATTTCATCATACATTTAACTGGCTAGTAACTCTCGTCACTGGAGATGAAAAGTGGGTTATGTATGTTAACCATACATGCAAGCGCCAGTGGCTAGGCCGCAACGAACTAGGTAAACATTCGGCAAAAAAAGATCTTCATCTTCGCAACGTGATGCTTTTGGTGTGATGGGATGTACATGGAGTAATATACAGGAAATTCTACCTACCTATACCACGATCGCAGCGAACGTGTACTGTTATGAACTCGATAATCTGAAGCATGAACTTCATCGTAAGCGTCCACAACATGACAAAATATTTTTCCTGCATGATAATGCCTGACCGCATATTGCTAAGAGTACTCGACGAAAACTATTGGGACTGAACTGGGAAATAGTTCCACATCCTCCGTATTCACCGGTCTTAACGCCAACAGATTTTAGTTTATTCCGGTCACTTAGTTTCATGATGGACCCCAGTTACAACAGACACATAGATGGCTTTTTCAAATCCAAACCGGCAAATTTTTTCAGAGACGCAATCTTATCCTTACCTTATCGCTGGCGTACAGTGGTAGATAACGACGTTGATTACATTATGAAGGATTAGTTATTATTTCATAAATAAATCAATAAAAATTTAAGTTACGCGTGTCGCTCATTATTTATAAGCCAACCCGATAAAACTAAATACAAAAGCGATGAAACCGGTTAAAAGTTGTTTCACTTTTGTATAGCGCGCGTGAAAATATAAGAAATCAGTATATGTA